TCGGTGAGCTGGAACCAATTACCCCAAAACCCATTGAAACAATGGTTTCGGTTAACGAGCAACCTGCTGGAACGGATTGTGCTCGTTAACCGAGGGACCATCACGCCATAAGGGTGCTGAATAATTTTTTATTGGGTGTACAATTCCTACCTCGGCTGACAATCCCTTCCTCTCAGTCATGGGGAGTGTCATTTAGTGGGCCTACCTTCTTTTATTGATTTAAAAAAATAAACAAAACAAAATACCCGGTATATAAAAATTATTGTTTACCTGTGAACAGATATATGGTAAGCAGAGTGATAAGGAAAAAGTGAATGTAAAAGGGAAATTTATAAAAATGGAATCCAAAGTAAGGAATGAGCTTTGAGAATAGCGAAATATTACAGTAAAAACCCCGAGTACAGGACTAATAAAGCCACAGTGACACTGTTACTTGGTTTCAATCTCTTACTCAGATGTTCATGTCAGCAGGGAGGAACAATTATTCAGAACAACAGATGGCATATTAAACTAACAGAGATTGGCTTATTTAAGCTCATAATAAATTAGTTCAAGTAAAATAACCATGCAGTACTTATATACTTTCAGTAAATTTAGTTGTTTATTTAAAGTGTCAATACATGAAGGTAAGGTTCTAGATCAGGGATAGCCAGACTTTCTTGTAACTGGATCTACATTTTGCATGGTTATCCAAACATGATCTACCAACAAAATTTTTCCTACCCTTCAGCAGTTAATGGGAAGATTTTGAGTGCTAAGAGAGTTGTGCAACGAGCTTGCCGAGCCCCTGAAAATCCTGTTTTGTAAATGCCTGGATGAACAAAAGGTCCCCAGTGAATGGAAAGTGGCTTATGTGAGTCCTATCTACAAGAAGGGCGATCGTCACTCCACGAACAACTATACACCGGTGAGCCTGACCAGCATAATATGTAAAGTACTTGAGAGTATTATCAGAGATGCCGCAATGGAACATCTAATACGAAACAACCTTGTAAAAGATTGCCAACACGGTTTTATGCCGGGGCGCTCCTGCTTAACACAATTGCTCAAGGTATTGAATATTTGGACCCATATTGTGGAACGGGGTGGTAATATCGACAATATTTACCTAGATTCTGCCAAGACTTTTGACAGTGTACCCCACGAAAGGCTGAAAATCAAACTGGAAGGGTACGGAATTCGGGGAAATGTCCTAGCATGGATAGAAGACTTTCTACATGACCGCAAGGAGTGCGTGGTGATTAATGGCACGAAATCGTCATCTGTACCTGTCACAAGTGGGGTACCACAGGGCAGTGTATTAGGCCTGCTGTTGTTTGTTTGTTTCATAAATGACATGCCTGATGTTGTACACTCCTCCATACAAATGTATACCGATGACGCCAAGTAGTAGGTAGTAGGCAACTACCAAACAGGGAGGTACTACTGCCTGGGAAGATATTGGAAGCATAATGTGTTGTCTAATGGTAGACCCTGTTGCCATATGGCATCACGAAAATTGTGACCAAGTCCCAGGTTGCTGATCTGACTTTCTACTTCATTTACATGCAAATGCAGGGTCTCAATTGTTTCTCTTACCATTGACAACACAACATACATATATCGTTTCTCACTTTTGATCTTTTTTTCATTTTTGTATTTATAGTTCTCTATTATTAATATTATTATTATTACAGTTACTGTATTATTATCATTATTTTATTATTTTATTTTTGTTTGTTTTATCATAAATTTTATTTATTATGAATTATTATGACTATTATTTATTTTTATTATTATTATTATTATTATTATTATTATTATTATTATTATTATTATTATTATTACATTTTCGCCCCCCAGGCCCTGATGTGGGTCAGTGACCTGTGTCCGGGTGGGCTAATCCCCATAAAAAAAAAAAAAAATTTCGGGAAATTACGAACCAAGCGGACTGTGAAGAAATGCAGAAGGATCTCTGTGGGCTCCAGGAATGATCGAAGAAATGGCTGCTGAGATTCAATGTCACAAAGTGTAAGAGGATGCACCTGGGACGTACCAACGGTAAGGAGGCGTATCATATGTCCCAACGGGATGAAGAAACTGCACCAGTTGAGACTGTATGTGAGAAGGAACTAGGTGTGTATGTTGACAATGAGCTGAAGTTCTCGGGCCATTGCGAGAAGAAGGTAAATCAGGTAAATAAATTATTGGGTCTTATAAGAAGGTCGTTCAGATATCTAGACGGTCCGTCCCACGTAACAATCTTCAGGAGTGAAGTGCTTCCCCATCTGGAGTACTGTCACCCCATCTGGTCCCCGAGATATGCTAGCGACTGTAAGTTGGTTGAAAATGTTCAAAGGAGGGCCACCAGACTGGTGCCTGCACTTCGGCACCTCAGCTACCCTGAGAGATTGGAGCACCTGAACTTGCCTAGCTTATACTACAGACGGGCAAGGGGGGACCTAGATGAAGTGCACAAGCATCTCGGGGCACTACTCAGACGAGTGTCCTTACTTGGAGCCGGCGGACGCTCGCCCCACAAGGGGTGGGGGTCACAGCTCAAGATTAAAGAAGCCGCAAGTCCAGAAAACTGTGAGGGCAAACTTTTTCTGAGTGAGGGTTGTAAACTCTTGGAACAATCTACCAGTGTGTGTTGTGACGGCACCGAGTGTGAGCTCTTTCAAGACAAGACTTGACCAACACTGGAGCGGGTTCAGATACATTCAGGAGCCGGTGCATGCCCAGTATTTGCCAAGAGTGCGTGAGAGACGTGACCGATCGCCCAGGCGGCTAGCGAGCCGACCTTTTGGTGAAGAGGATAAATGAAAAGGAAAAGTAATCAGAGACGTGACCGATCGCCTAAGTGGCTAACGAGCCGATCAGTGGCGATGAGGATAAAATATATATATAAAAATATATGGCATGAGAGAAGAGGCACGTCTGCAACAAGTAATACCCAAACATGGACCGAGTGCACTGCAGCTTTGTTGTGATGTGGGTGGAACCACATGGCCCACGCCGCATTGCTTCGCCAACGATGACAAAAATAGGGTAGAAAATTTAACCCCCAAAAATAAAGATTCTTGTTGTTCCTCAGGTGGACTGGTACTCAGGGGTTATACTATATTTATGTTAATGAAAAATCTTATGAAGAAAAGGTAACGCTAACAGGAGATGATGACTTTGCTCAAGGGACACGGGCACCGGTAGAAATAAATAATGTATATAAATAAATGTATGTGTGTAAATGTGTGAGTGTGTGTGCATCATTTTAATTACAACCACTTTGCACTTGAGTAGGGAAAACAGGAAGAGGCTTGAAAGAAACTGAGAACATAAGATGCTCACGCACACACAAAATGCCCTTACCAAAATAAACTTCAATACTCCATACTCTGAAAGAGAAAAAAAATAATTACCTTAGCATTAGAAGAGAGGTCCTGGTTGAAACGCTGCAATGCTTCGACGCGTTTATCAGGACCCATCCGCATGTACTTACTTAGATCCTTCATCATATTAAAGTCTGACTTCATGATGTCTGTCAGTCCTGTCAGAGCACACAATTCTGGCACAAGGTAAATATTTCCTAAACCTCTTCTTAAATCTCTCTTCTTAGGTTTTGACATGAGCATTGGCTGCTTTACATCTTTGATCCTAACTTGGTAATTCTGTTGGAAGCAAATATAAAATAAAAATTAGCAAAATAAAATTTTAGGTACGACACCCCCCCTCCTCCCCTTTTTTTTTTTTTTAACAGGGATTAGCCCACCTGAGCACAGGTCATTGACCCACATCAGGGCCTAGGTGGGGAAAAAAATAAATAATATAATTAGAAATAAATAAAAATTATAATAAAAATGAAAATAAAATAAACATAATACAAAAATTGAAAATAATTAATCATGAGCAAGAAACGATACACAGTATGCATGTTTGTGTTGGCGATAGTAAGAGAAACAATTGAGACCCTGCAAGTGTGTGTAAATGAGGCAGAAAGTCAGATCAGAAACCTGGAACTTGGTCACAACTTTTGTGATGTAGTAGGTAGTAGGCAGCTACCAAACAGGGAGGCACTACCGCCTGGGAAGATATTGGAAGCATAATGTGTTGTCTATTGGTAGACCCTGCTGCTATATGGCATTACGAAAATTGTGACCAAGTCCCAAGTTGCTGATCTAGCTTTCTACCTCATTTACACACAATTGCAGGGTCTCAACTGTCTCTCTTACTATTGACAACACCACAACTAAAACCGTACTCATTCTTTATCTGTTTTATTCATTCTATTTTATTCTCCTATGTCAGTTGATATTAATACTGAAGCGGGGCCTTCTCGGATGGGTCCCACTGGTCGGGAAGGTTGTGGACCCCAGGGCCGACCTGATCATCATCAAGCTACTGGGGCCTCAACTGACGCCACTATGTTGCTGGAGGATCGGCTTTTTTCACACTTCATTTTTCCAACATTCGCGGGCTGAGATCCAATTTTTCTTCTGTGGAGCACCATCTATCAACCTCTTCCCCCGACCTCTTACTACTCTCCGAACTTCAACTGACCAAAGCAGCTTCACCCAAACCTTTTCAAGTCTCTAACTACAACCTTTATACCTACTTCCGTTCTAAGGGAGGTGTATGCGCCTACTGCAATACACGTACACCTATAGCCCGACTCACGGATCTTGAATCTCCCCTTTATGATGTCATCTGGCTCAAAATATCTCTACCTACTGTGACTATTTTTCTTTGTTTCTTATACTGTTCTCCCAATTCTACCAACTACTTCGAACTCCTTGACTATCTCACTTCTTGCCATGAGTCGTTGCTATCCACACATCCCTACACCGAGATCCTCTACCTAGGAGATTTCAATGTACATCACAACATCACAGAGAGTGGCTTGGCTCTGCAAGGGATGACCCAGGTGGAGCTGAGGCACTCTCTTTTTCCTTACTTAATGATTTGGAACAAATAATCAAACACCCTGCACGCGTTCCTGATCGACACAATCAACTTGCTAACATTCATTATCTTTGTTTTACCTCTAACCCCTCACACTATTCATACTCAATTTTTGCCCCCTTAGGGTCTTCTGATCACAACCTTATTTCTATTAAATCAAACTGGGCACAACCACCTCCCCCACCCCCCTCTAAACGTCAACTATGGCATTATAGGAGGGCAAGCTGGCAATCCTTGCGAGAATTCTTCACCGACTTTCCTTGGGATGAATGTTGCTTTTCCACTCGGGATGCCTCGGTATGTGCTGACAGCATTGCTGGGGTTATACAGGGCGGTATGAGTGCATTTATCCCATCTTCTACCATAACTTTCACATTACAATCATGGTTTGATCACTCCTGCTCTCTTGCTTGCAGGGTGAGATAGGGCATATCAAGCTATAAAACTATCTCCTTCTCCTATTACCCACACCTCTTTCATTACTTCTAGGAATCGTTGTAAGGCTATTCTTCGTAGGGCCAAGCGGAATTTTATTAAAAGAAAGACCGCTGTCCTGACTAATTCTTCCTCTAGTAAATCCTTCTGGTCCTTAACTAAAATCATCTGTAACAACTTCTGCATGCCTTCTTTTCCTCCCCTCTTCCATCCCAATAACTCTATAGCCAACTCTCCCACTGACAAAGCCAACCTCTTTGGCACCTTATTCTCCTCTAATTCCACCTTAGACGATTCCCACTCTATCCCTCCTACCCCTGCACCTCCTACTGAACCTATGCGCTTTCCTATAATCTCCACTCGCAGGGTTGCCAGTGTGTTATCCAGGTTGGATGTGAGTAAGGTGCATGGACCGGACGGAATACCCCCTCATGTTCTGAGGGAGTGTGCTGAAGCCCTGGCCCCTGTGCTTGCTCGCCTCTTTCGCCTTTGTCTCAAAACCCAAACTTTTCCTTCTTCATGAAAGCATGCCTTCGTTCAGCCCATCCCGAAGAAGGGTGACCATTCTAATCCTTCTAACTATCGCCCCATTGCCCAAACTTCATCCCTCTCTAAGAATTTCGAAACTATCTTGAACTCCCATTTTCTCCGTCACCTTGAATGCCTTTCTCTTTTGTCGGATCACCAGTATGGCTTTCGCCAGGCGAGATCTACTGGAGATCTGCTCTCCTATTGCACCCATCTTTGGTCATCCTCTCTTAGGGATTATGGGGAAACTTTTGTCGTGGCTATCGACATCTCCAAAGCATTTGACAGGGTATGGCACAAGTCTTTGTTATCTAAACTTCCCTCTTTTGGTTTCTCTCCCCCACTTTGTTTTCTCCTCTCTAGCTTCCTTGAGAACCAATCCATGGCAGTTGTTGTCGAGGGATCGATTTCTCGCTCTTTCTCTACCAGTAGTGGCGTCCCACAGGGTTCTATTCTTTCACCAACTCTCTTCCTTCTTTTTATCAATGATTTACTTCACACTACAACTAATTCTATCCATTCTTACACTGATGATTCTACTCTTCACTCTTCCTCACATTTTCCCCTTCCAACTAACTCTCAAACTAGATCTGTCTCTAGAACTGATATCATTACTTCTATCAACGCGGATCTGTGCAGCATCTCTGAATGGGGAGATACAAACTTGGTTAAATTCAATAGTAATAAAACTCAATATTTACCAATTACACTTTGTAAATTAGACGATCTCCCACCAATTATATTTCAAGACGCTATCATCCTCCCAAATTCCGAAATAAATGTTAGGCCTCACCATTTCCTCCAATATGTTCTGGAAATCACACATCCTTAGTATAACTAAAGCTGCCTCCCGAAAGTTGGGAATGCTGCTCTTCTTCTGTCCAACAACAGTGACCCCTCGTTTAACGAACACCTCGGTTAACGAACTGCCTTCCATAAGGATCTTTAATTCGGTTAACGAAAAAAAATTCGGTTAACGAAGTTCTTACGAACCGACCTCAACATGTTTTCGCTTGCACTGACCGGGCAACCAGCTTTAGTATCAGTCCGCCAATACATTAATCGGTTCTAGGGCTTAAATTCCTTACTATTTTAGTAAATATCAAGAAGTTTATACTATTCAATAATTTTAAAAGTTTAATATTAAATTTTCTAGTCATTTTAACAATTATTGAACAAAATTGAAGGTAAAGTGACTAGTTTAATGCGCGGCATCCAGCCTCTTAACACAGCAAACAGGCGTTAGTCTCTCTCTGTTTTCACTGGAGGTAACATCTTGCTTGACTCTCTTCAACTAAACACTTTTTTTCTGTGTTTCCAAGCAAATTATTGGTCATTTTGAAATTTATTTTACATATTGACAATATATAGTGCAGTGCAGTGTTATTTTAAAGAAAATATTCTTTATTTACAGCTAGTTTAACTCTGAAAAATACGTGTTGACATTGTTTGAATCCAGCATGGGGCCCAAGAGATCAAGAAAAGCAATTTCAATCCAAATAAAGCAGGAAATAATAAAAAAACACGAACAAGGCATTAAATCAAATGCGCTATGCAAAGAATATGGCATGTCGGCATCAACTGTGTCGACAATTCTTGCACAAAAAGACAAATTTAAAGAAGTGAACGTGAGAGACAAATCTACAAGAGTGTTTAAAAGTAGATCCCTAATCGTAGAAACTGAGAGGTTACTTATCATCTGGATTAGGGAAAAACAGATGAAAGGTGATTCAGTTTCTGGTGATTTCATTTGTGAAAGAGCCAGGGAGATTTATGAACATTTAAAGGCAGATCAACCTGGTTCTTCAGGAACAGAATTTGAAGATTTTCGGGCTAGCAAAGGCTGGTTCGAAAAATTTAAGAAAAGAAGTGACATTTTAAGTGTTGTTAGGCATGGTGAAGCTGCTAGTGCTGATAAATAAGGGGCAGCAAAGTTTTTAGTTGAATTTAAAAAACTGATGGAAGAAGAAAATTATCTTCCACAGCAAGTGTTCAATGTGGACGAAACTGGGCTGTTCTGGAAAAAGATGCCCAAAAGAACATTCATCACCAAAGATGAAGCCTCTTTACCTGGGCATAAACCCATGAAAGACCGTCTCACTCTATTGCTTGGTGCCAATGCTTCAGGGGATTTCCGACTGAAGCCTATGCTTGTCTACCACTCTAAAAACCCCAGGGTGTTCAAGCAACAGAAAGTGGTAAGAACAAAGCTTGAAGTTTATTGGAAGTCCAACCGTAAGGCATGGGTGACAAGACAGCTCCTTAATGAATGGGCTGTTGATGTGTTTTGCCCCTCTGTCAAGAGCTACCTAACCACCAATAAACTTCCTTTAAAGGCTCTTCTCCTCATGGAAAATGCTCCTGGTCATGACCCTGACCTTGCCAGCAATTTGGAGTATCAATTTGACTTTGTGAAAGTGTTGTTTTTGCCTCCAAACACTACATCAATCATACAGCCAATGGACCAGAATGTAATCAGCAACTTCAAGAAGTTGTACATGAAGAAAATGTTTAGGAGGTGTCATCAGGCAACTTCCACTGATCCTGAACTAACACTGAAACAGTTCTGGAAGACACAATTCAACGTCCTGGAGGCTGTAAAATTGATTGTGTCATCATGGCAAGAAGTCTCCAATAGAACCCTCAATTCTTCATGGAAAGCACTGTGGCCATCAGTAGTCCATGATTTTGAGGGATTTGAGGAAGAAACAGAGTTGGACCAGGAGATTGTGTCCATTGGTCAGTC